CATAACGTCACTGAGGTTCACATTTTTATTATGAGAAGCACTAAAAAATGGAAATTAAAAAAAAAAAATAGTTTTGTGTTAAACGTTGGACATTCATTTTCATTAAAGAATTTTTTTCAAAATAACACTCCATGATCATCCAGGTCCAAATTTAAAAAATTCAAAATATTAATGTTTTTGTAGGCAGATTTCCAAAATTCTTCATGTTGTTATTTTCCACTGGAAAAATTTGAAATTTTGGGAAAATGAGCTTCTAAACTTCCTCTTCACATGTGAAAAGTTTCAAATTTTTCCGTTCACTAGTTGCAGGAAAACTTCTAAATATGTGAGAGTGTATTTTCAATTAATTCAGTTATTGTGCGTTGATTTCCAATATTCCTCATGTTGTTATTTTCGACTGGATACATTTGAAATTTTGGGAAAATGAGCCTTTAACCTTTCTACTCTTCACATGCAAAAAGTTCCAAATTTTTCCTTCCACTAGTTTTCCAGGAGAACTTTGAAATGTGTGAAACAGCATTTTCAACTAATTCAGTTTTTGTAAGTTGATTTCCAAGATTCTTCATGTTGTTATTTGCCACAGGAAAAATTTGAAATTTTGGGACAATGAGCTTCTCACCTTCCTTTTCCTATGCAAAAAGTTTCAAAATTTTCCCTTCACTAGTTTTCCAGGAAAACTTTGAAATGTGGAGACAGTATTTTTAATTAATTCAATTATTGTAGGTTGATTTCCAAGATTCTTCATGTTGTTATTTTCTACTGGAAAAATTTGAAATTTTGGGAAAATGAGCCTTTAACCTTTCTACTCTTCACATGCGAAAAATTCTAAATTTTTCCTGTTTTCCAGCAAAACTTTGAAATGTGTTCAACTAATTCAGTTTCTGTAAGTGGATTTCCAAGATTCTTCATGTTGTTATTTTCCACTGGAAAAATTTGAAATTTTGGGAAAATGAGCCTCTAACCTACCTCTTCACATGTAAAAAGTTTCATGTTTTCCCTTAATTAGTTTTCCAGGAAAACTTTGAATTGTGTGAGACTATATTAACAATTTTTTCTGTTAGTTGATTTCCAAGATTGTTCATATTATTATTTTCCACTGAAAAAATTTGAAATTTTGGGAAAACAAACTTCTCCCCTTCCTCTTAACATCAGTTTTAAAATTTTCTCTTCACTAGTTTTCCAAAAAAACTTTAAATTGTGTGAGACAGTATTTTTAATTAATTCAATTATTGTAGGTTGATTTCTAAGATTCTTCATGTTGTTATTTTCCAATTGAAAAATTTGTAATTCTGGGAAAATGAGCTTTCCCCTTTCTCTTTACACATGCGAAAAATTTCAAATTTTCCCTTCACTAGTTTTCCAGGAAAAATTTGAAATGTGTGAGACGATATTATCAACTAATTCAGTTTTTGATAGGTTGATTTCCAAGATTCTTCATGTTGTTATTTTCCACTGGAAAAATTTAAAATTTTGGGAGAATGAGCTTCTCATCTTCCTCTTTACACGCAGAAAGTTTCAAAATTTTTCTTTCACTAGATTTCCAGGAAAACTTTTAAATAAGTGAGACTGTATTTTCAATTAATTTAATTATTGTAGGTTTTTCCAGGAAAACTTTGAATTGTGTGAGACAGTATTTTTTATTAATTCAGTTATTTTAGGTTGATTTCTAAGATTCTCCATGTTGTTATTTTCCACTGGAAAAATTTGAAATCTTGGGAAAATGAGCCTCTCATCTTTCTCTTTACATACAAAAAGTTTCAAATTTTTCCTTTCACATTTGAGAGGAGTTTGGAGGAATTTGCGGAAATTTGGAGGAGTTTGCAGGGAATTTAGAGGAATTTGTGGGGTATTTGGAGAAAGTTAAAGTAGGGTATTTGGAGGAATTTGTCATGGGGTACCTGGAGGAATTTGCAGGAATTTTGAGGAATTATGCGTAAAAAATTCTCCTTTGAGGAATTGTTTGCACAAATTCTGGAATGGTTGTTTACCCCTTGCCCTTTACAAACCGTGAAGGAACAGGAAATTCGGGAAAACTTGGAAAGATCTAATGAAGTATGGTGAACAAATAGAAAACAAAAATAAAAAGCACTTAAAATTCTGCAAAAAGAAACAAAGAATGCTAACAAATCGGGAAAAGTAGTTGGAAAATCTTTATCTCTAGTCAAAGAAGAGTAGAGGAACTAACGAAATGTCTGATAAAAGAGGCAACGAACATAGTGAGAAAAAAAAGTCTTAAAAATATATGAAAAAGAAACAACAACAAGGAAATAAGAAGAAATAGACTTATTTGATCAGTAATAAGCCAAAAGTCTGGGAAAATATTTAAAAAATTCGTAAAGTTTTGAGAAATCCAAGGAAAAATAGGGAATTATTCGAAAAATTCGGAGAAGTACGCAAGGTATCAATAACAATTCTTTGGAATATTGTGAAAAGGAAATTGTTGACCCAAAATGTGTACACCGATTGTCAAATTTCACAATATTTAAAAAAAAATCGGGAAACTTGCCAAAGATTGTGTACAATTGTGACTGTGGAATGATTACGACTGATTCTGAACCAAAATTATTTGAAGGGACCTCATGTGCGACTGATGGTAGTAAATTGTGAAGGGATTGTGAGAGAATGAGTAACGATTATACACAATTATTTTTGTGTGATGTCCGACATTGAAGTTTGTGTTGGTTTGGACACTCTGGAGAATGTTTGTTTTAAGTGCAAAATGAAATGTGTAATACAATGTAGGGTCTGCAACAGTTACTATCATGGGAAATGGGGAAAGATCGATATGAGAGGTTTTCACATGAAAAAGTCCACTTGGAAATGTTCCATATTATGTGATCCGTTGCCAACTGAGGTTATAACAAAGGTAAACAAACAAGAAAAAGGAGCAGAACGGAAGATATAGTTATTTGGATCAAAGTGTTGTAATTGAAATTCATGAAACATTGAAATATCCTATCTTAAGGGGGTTATGACAGCCCCTCTTGCTGTTTTGCCTGCATCATCAGTATGTAACTTAACCTATTCAGCTGTAACCAAACAAAAACAAGTCACTAAAATATTGGTAGTTAAACAAAAAAAGAGTTTTTCTCAAAAGGACGTGAAACCAATAAAAGATGATTTACGTACCAAGGTGATTCCAAGTGATATTGGAGTTGGGGTTACAATGGGCAGGTTGTGATTTGTGAGAACGTACAATCAGTTGCAATTGTACATACAGTCAGAAATCCAGAGTAAACTATGTTGATATGCCGAAATTACTGGAAAAACGTATTAAACTTATTGGAATTAATGAATGTGAATTTAACAACAGCGAAGAGAAAATTGTATCGAAAACGACCTGGACCCGAATACAAAGTTAAAAATAAGGTACAGATCAAAAGTTCATATTGGTAGATTCAATATTAAGTTTGAAGTTGACAACAATACTTACAATATACTAATAGAAAAATAGAGAATGAATATTGGGTGGAATCGGTGCTAGGTAGTTTGTGAATAAGTGTGAAACCTACCAGAGAATGGAGCAACTTCAAAGAAACAAATTTATTAAGTAGCAGTTAGATGCAAATATTGTCCTAAACTCCAGTGTTGTGTATTTCAATTGCCAGGGCTATCTCAACAATAAAGACAATATTACTGTTTTGGTTACAAGATTACTGTTCTTATCAGAAACCCATGTGACTGAAAATGTTGATCCAATAGAACTGAAGATTGATGGATATAATTTGGAACAATGTGCAACAACTAACCGAAGAACTGGGGGAGTCATGGCCCTAATAAGAACTGACGTTGAATATAAAATCAAAATAGTGCAGTGTGTTCAGAACTATGTATGGTTGTTATCTTTTGAACTAGGCTGCTAGATTGCAAGAGCTATTCACCCTTTGGAATATTGTTCCGTAACAATTTCAGCAGTGATTATCTACAGATTTTTAACATGCATAGGATTGGCTGTTCTTCAAAATGTTGAGTTTCATACAACCTAGTGGCGCCCATTTCAAACTGTGTTGAAATAATTGAAAAGATTGGTTGCACTTGCAAGCCTTCACATGCACATTGATCAGAAAAACAAACCATAGACGTCATTATAACGATCTAAAAGATTAAATATTAAAAATCCCCTTCTTTATAGGAAAATAACAACCTGGATTTTTTATATGTAGATAAATAATTGTAGAGTGGCGTTTTCACGTGAAGGAAACTGAAAAACAACATCCAAAGACGTTTCTCTCATATGGAATTAAGCAAATTCCCTCTAATAAAATATTCACCTTGACGCCCCGTTGTTAACTTAATTGATACGCTTGCCTTAGGAATATAAAATAAAATTCAATCGAGCAGGGACTAATGAACAAGTGAATAATATATTTCTCTAGTTCAGGACTTTTCCAGAGGAGTTGGAAAGTGACCAATTATGATCCGAATATAACCAAAGTAACCGATTCGGTTGGCAGATGGTTACTGAAAATTCTGGTTACTTGGGAAACGCGAATATGAAATAAAAAATAATTGACAGAAATTACAGATAAAACCAACAGAACTGACATCTGATGGCCGGTAACTATTTTGACATTTGGTTAACCAGATTTCAGGAAACCCAGGTCCAACAGTAGCCACTTTTCCAGAAACCACAGTAATTTGATTACTTTCGGACCGCGTTTCTTGATTATTATATCAATTAATTCCTTAAGGTGACGACACAATCGCAAAAAGAAAAAAACGAAAATTTGGCGCCATGCAAGTTTATCCTTGTCGCGATCTTCTTGTAAAAATTAACCGGGCGGGCGTTGGAATTTCGTTTTCGCGTGTGCTCGATCCCCGATCTAATTAAAAGAAAAAATACCGCGCGAGGAATTCCTGACCCACCACCCGAAATTATCATCAAAGATCGGACCTGTGAGATACCATTTTTAATTTGGCAATGTCGCGGAATGCGGCCTTCATAAGGCTGCGTTCACACACTCAATACAGTATTTTAAAAAAAAAAACATAGTACTTACCTACTATACTAACTAAAGATGAAACTAATACTACTTGTAAGACTAAAAACTGCCAGGGGGGCGGGTACTTTTTGTGGTACGATATCGTCGTTCGTCTTCTTCCTGCAACAAAAAAAACACAGTCAAATATTTATTTCCTACAGAGGGCAATGGTTAGCGTAATTCTCGGGTTTAAATTTAATTCAAAGTGCATCACGGATTTAATTAAAACAAACACGATAGAGAACTACTACAACTAACAACGTAATAATTGTTGTATAAAATTTTCAGATTTCAAGTACAATGATTTATTATTATTAGTTTTCACCCCTCTTGAGTTTTTTTTACGATATATATCAGCTGCATTATTTGAAAATAACTCCAGAACAAATTCCCCCTTCGGTTTTCGAAAAACCGCAGAAATTGAAATACATCAGGGATTTCAGCGTGTAGGGTTTCCTTGGACTGTGACTTCTCAAGTTTTATGGTGTGTGCAATGTTAGGGCACTATTGTATTGTTTAGTTACTATAAATACTCGATTTATAGTTCATAAAATGGTTTATTTTTGGGTACAATATGCAGGTGATCTCGTTAGTGCGTGTGTTTGGTAATTTCTTGCATATTAACAATGTTTGAAAGGGGTTGTCACTAGACCGTATGGAACTAATTTGAACAATTAAGAGAAAAGGCGATTCAGGCATTATTCGAAATTAGTCTTGCTGAAGTCAAAAATCTGTGGATAATTGCTAAAAGATTTTACAGAAGAATTTTCTATAGAATTATGATCGATATTTTTCAATTCTTTGGTTTTCTCCTAATTTTGCCTATTTTTCTCAATATTTCTCCATACTTTCTTGTTACTATTCCTAGTTCTTAGGCTGGAAGCTTCTATTCAGTATGTTTTGTTTTTCTTTTATTTTTTTCAATATGTTTCGCAAAACAGTACTTTCTTGATTTTTCTCCGGACTTTTTTGTTAGTTCTTCTGCACTTCCTTATATGTATTTATGTATGTATGTGTCGGAAGTGTTAGTTTCTGTAGACGTTCCCATACTATCTTAGAATTGATGACCGGGGAGCTCATTGCCAAGTGCTTTGTGGAAAAGGGGTTGGTCGAATGTTATAATAGGATTCTGGCTGTATCGCTTGGCATGGTCAGAAACAAAATGCAGCGTGAAGAGAACACACGTCTCATTGGTAGGATCCATATTATTATTGATCATTGGTAGAAAGATGATAGATATGATACACCTTTATAGAGTAGTTGGCATACACCTTTCCAGCTTGGAGCATTGTTACTGAGAAAATGTGAAATGTTCAGTAAAATATCCAGGTTTGTAGATGGGTCACTGTACGCAATATCCTCAAGTATTATACGTTGATGAACACATTCTAATGGCCTGTGAATAATATGTCTTTATTGGGAGCTAAAAACTGGAATGCGCACACATTGCCATATCTGCCAAAAAAATGAAGCCATGAAAGACAGATGCCACAAAGGGGAATGTTGTTTTTTTCTGTTGCTCGCTGACATATGACGTTTTCGAAAGTTTTGTCATATTTCCCTTCACAGGCTTCATCAATTGGAATACGTGTTGGAAGCAATTTTCGCCATTTAACATAATGAGTGCGACAAAAACAGGTATCCCCTTCGCAGCAGCCGCACTAGGCTTCAAGTTCGTCCTTATGTGTTAGCATTCCAGTTTTTGGTTATAGTTCATTGGATTTGCCCCAGCGACGCGTCCTCAGGTCTTCAAATGAAACTTGGCCTTTCTTAATAACCGTTGAACATTTTCCAGCTGAAATGACGATAATGCCTATTTCATGAAAAGTACCATTGTAATAATATTGTGATCAATATTATCAGCTGCATATTGCACGAATTTCTGAGGAATTGAAAAGGTTCTAAAGGGATAGATATGGTATAGTTCCTCTTTCTAGAGCAGCTGAACATTCGAAACGAATAACCTCGGAATAGGAGCTACAGAATCCCATATGACAGTAAACCACTCACAGAAATTGTATTGGAATTAGTTTGAGGTTTCACATTAATTTTACTAGGCTAATGCTCCCGTTTACAGAGACACGGGAGTCCTTGCATTTTTCCTAGGGTTTTCTTAGCTGTGACTAGCTGGGTTCGGCTATACCAGGCTACCTTTCCATATATAGGTCTAACTATCATGGTATACATCCATCGTAAGATCGATAAATCATGAACCCACGTTTTACCTGCAATGTTTTTGCACATCATGGTTCTTATTCTTGAAACAGGGGAGCCAGACGGAGCACTCGTTCTCCTGGGAACGCTGCTCCCCAGTTTCAAGAATAAGGACCCATGAGTGACGAGATTGCTTTGTTTTTTGTGTTCTCTACATGTCGGTTCCAGAAAAGTTTAGAATCTAGGGTTATTCCTAGAAATTCAACTTCTTGTTTCCAGTTAAGTCTGTTTCCATTGAGGCGAATGTTTCTTAGGTTTGAGATTTTCGTTCTTTTTGTAAATGTTACCAGCCAGTGCGGTTTTCGCTGAGTTTAGATTCAGCCCCACTGTCTGACACCAATCTTTCGTGGTTCGAAGTGCTTTTTTTAACGCCTGGTTTCTTAAGAGTCAATGGTCTTTGCGATATGCTTTTTGCCAGGGTATATACTGGGGTGGGCATAAGTCTCCTAGGCTGGGACACTGTAAAGGATAGAGATAGTTTTCTCTATCGCTATGGCACTTACTATCTTCTTTTGTCTTTTCGAAATCAATAGAGCGGGACGTTAATAAAGATAGAGAAAATATCCCTATTCGTTACAGAGTCCCAGTCCTGGCAGCCTTCAAGCTGAAATGCGGCGGGGCGCCCTTGGGAGGTTGAAAGTATACCAGTCTGGCAAGTGAACATCTTACGGGCCAATTTTAATGCAATAGAATGAAATGTCTAGAGAAAGTCCAAGGATAAATAGGTAGAGAAAACGTTTTTCCTTGTTTCACCTCCAACATTCCCAGCGCTCCATGCTGGAGGTGGAACAGGGGAAATCGTTTTCTTTCTCTAGACTTTTTCTAGACATTTCATTCTATTGCATTAAAATCTGCCTGTAAGATGTTGACTTGCCAGACCTGTATACTAACGTATATGCATACTAATAGCGAATTCCATTGGTAGAACCAGTGCAGAAAAAATGTACATATTTTCATCTCTTCCTTATACAAGCTGGTAGAAAAAGATACGAACACACTCAGTGCGCACTAACCCTTCCAATGGAATTCGCTATAGCTTATGCCCAGCTGGCCGCGTTGCTAGCTAACCTACGTGAAATCCAAGCGAGAGTGGGTGGACCTTAGAGCAGATAAAGGTAAAGGGGAGTAGTAACATGGAATTGGAAAATGAAGCCGTTTTTTTTTTCAGGTATTATGGCACCAAAAAAATGGTGGCCTTGTGGTATAGGCAATGCTTTACCTGTATTTTGGTGCCAAACACCTGCCAAAAACTTGGCTTCACTTTAGTTTCCTGAGCAGAATGGCGCGTTCCTACTCTTTATGTCCGTAGGACAGCGCTTTACCTGCTCTAAGGGTGGGACTGACGCATGCACTGTTTTGAAGGCTGACTTATGCCCACCCCTGTACATACAATATACATACATACATATAAGGACCATTACATGAACTTCTTTGGCTAGAGGTGAACATTTTTCAGATTTCTTTCAAGATTTTAACGAGTAATTTTCGATGTTTCCAGTATAATGTTTTTGTTTATTTTCTAAAGTATTTTTTATTTTTTTTCTCTTTGCAATACTTCCAGTGGTTTTTGCTCAAGTGGTGGAGGGGATAGTCTTTGAAGTGAAACTTCTTTACGTTTAGGATAATTTCGTTACACGAGAGATAAAAAAAAAAATAATGTAGAGAGAAGGAGAAAGAGAGAGCTATATCTAAAACATAGGCCTTCGTTGCAAGACACAGTAGAGAGATATAACGAAGAGAGTAGGAAAAAGAGAGCTATAGCTTGTATGTATCTAATACACAGTTTCGGATATCCGCGTCTCCCTTCTATGCGATCCTTCGTCTTCCACCCCCACTCGTGCGCTAAGTCCAAAGCTTATGATTTTTCGTTTGTCAGGTTAAGGGTTAAGTGTTACGGACAAGGTTGATGTATGTGTTTACTCTAGTTTCCTGATTTCTTAGGAAATTTTTGTTTTGTATGTGAATGCGTGAATAAATTAAATAAATAATTATAGTGGCAGTGAGTACATTTTCTGTTTCTTCTCAGATCGCAAATTAAATTTGACTATCGAGTATGTACAGTACTGTACAATATAATGAATAATGAAGGATAAAATCCTAGTATTTGCTTATTTTTTGTGTTGTCCTGTCAACTAAACATCAAAAGTATATCCTATTCATAATCTGTAGTCCAAAGATACAGGTAAATTTATCACCTTTCCCTATCAAATAGCATTGAAAGGTGATAAATTTTACCTGTACCTTCGGACTACAGATTGTGAATAGACAATACAAACAATGTTTTGCATGCTACTCGAATGGTGAATCATTTGATTAGTATAGCTGTAGCAAATGCCCAGAAGATTGTAAAAGGATATTGAGGGAAGGAAAATCAAAAAATAGAAACAAAAACGAAAGTCGCAGACCAATCAGCCAACCTTCAACATCAGAATCAACTTCCGATTTATTCCGCTGTGCAAGTGCAACTGATTCTGTTGATTCAACATCTACAAACAAACTCAAATCTTGTTTTGATAGCATTACACTTTCGGAAGAACAAAATATTTGGAAATCCTTAGCAAAAGCAATTTATGCCAGTGGCACACCCCTAAATATAACTGAAAATAGGAATTGGATCGAAAAATTTAAGAAAATTCGTCCGTCTTTAACGATACCATCCAACTCACTGTTAAAAGAAGTTCACCAAGATATGAAGGATAGGGCTAAGGGCGGGTATTATAAAACTATATTGACAGATAGCAAAAAGTTAACTTGTGAAATTACTATGGAAAGTAACGTCATTCCTGAAGTTAACTTCTAAGTTAACTGTCAAAATAGTTTTATAATACCCACCCTAATACATTTATAGCTGATGTTCGATTTGCGGCTGTTTCGTGCGACTCATGGAAAAACATTCGCAATGAAAG